TTTCCTAATCCATCTAACATGACTCACTGGAAAATTAATGCCTCTGTACCTTTACATACACTACTGCTTCTGTTTGGAAGGTCCTCCCCAGACCCCAAACTCTTCTTCCTATGGCTAAGTGGCCCTTTTTAAAGATTCAGCTCAAGCATTGTTTCCTCCAGAAAGCCTTCCTTGATGCCCCATGCCTCCCTCCACTCAATCTGGCTTCTGTACTCCTCTTCCAATACACTATAGGGCTTCTGTTATAGTCCCTGCTACCTTGTCTATCTCCCTATCTCTACTGTAAGCTCCTAGAGACTGTGTGTCTAGTGTCTAGCATAGTATCTAGCACATAGCATGAATGCAATAAGTGTTTATGAATAAATGAAACATGAATAATAAGGGAACATTTGCATAGCTATTTAAACACAATCCTTTTGAAATACTCTTTTTTCTTTGAAAAATAGGCCTTTTTTTTAAGATCTTAAAAGCGATAATGCTGATTGCAGCAATTTTACATACAAAAAATTCATGTAAGAATATAAAAACTGCCTGTAATCTTACCACCCAAAGAAAACCACTTTTAACATTTAGATGCAGTCCTTTCCAGTAATTTTCTACATGTATGTATATATACCAAATCACAATCCTATTTTTATACCTAATTTTCTCAAAGATTGTAACAGTAACTTCTGGAGGTAGAGGTGGCATTTTTATACCAATTTAAGTGATGGGAAAACTGGAATACCAAGATACACATCTAATTAATGGCAGAGTTAGGATAGAACTCATGAATCTTATCATAGTTCCAGGCTCCTGCTGTTTCCCAGGTGCTGTTTTTTTTTTTTTTTTTTTTTTTTGAGACAGAGTCTTGCTCTGTTGCCCAGGCTAGAGTGCAGTGGCATAATCTTGGCTCACTGCAACCTCCACCTCCAGGGTTCAAGCGATTCTCCTGCCTCAGCCTCCTGAGTAGCTGGGACTACAGGCGCCTGCCACCACGCCTGGCTACTTTTTTGTATTTTTAGTAGAGACAGGGTTTCACCGTGTTAGCCAGGATGGTCTCGATCTCCTGACCTCGTGATCTGCCTGCCTCGGCCTCCCAAAGTGCTGGGATCACAGGCGTGAGCCACTGTGTCTCAGGTGGTGTTCTTCTTGTATCAATCCAGCATCAATGGAACATGCATTTGTAACTGGGTGTCCTTGCTCTATACAGGGAGAGATTTAAGCCCCGTGTCCACACCATGGCTCAGCAGTGCACACTGGGCATTGTCTCTAACACTTTGGAGGGAAACAAGGATGGAGCATCTAGGATCTTGTTCTAGGATCTTGTGATAGGCTCATCAACTGTGCTAGGCAGGCACCAGTAAGAGTTAGAGTTTCCTTCTGATGGCCAAATGGTATCTGAACAGCAATGGCTTGGTTCAGAGCACATTGCTATGGGAACTGCAATCACAGGTTCAATCTCACCATAGACCAGTGAGTTGTACTCCAATCCACGACTAATGACTATATTCCAGAACAATGTACACAGCAGGCACTCAATAAGTGTGCATTGGGCCGAGTTGAGTGTATATTATTCATCAGGGAAAGTAGGCAAAAAGGCATGCTGACAGTAGATTTCCATACCACTGTGCCCAGTGTGGAAAAGGCAATCCAATGTGATCTAGCTTTTTATTTTATTCCAAATAAAGGACGAAATTGTAGTCCCACAAACACACATCAGATTATTAGTTCCATAGATGAATTTATGTGCATGTCCCTAGAATGCCAAGCATGAAGCCAGACACAACTGAGGTGTCCATGTTTTTTGAATTGAATTGTGCGAAGACAGCCTGGTGTGGGAGTTAAGATGTCGACTAGTAATTCACCATTCCTTTCCCTGAAAGCTCTGTAAATCAAGCTCTTAAAAAAAGCAGCAGGCTAAATTCCAAAACCCTCTCTGAGGAGAAATGCCCATGACTGGTGGGGTCTGGACTATGTCCACCAAATGTGCAGATCTCTTCTGCACAAACATCGTCTACTCCCAAGGGAGCCCGTGACTGACTGACCGGCTGTGGAGACTCACATGTCCCCTCTTTCCCAGTGTTGAGGGGGCCAGGGGAAGGGAGTGGGAGTCGAGTGATGAAGCACGGCTGAACTGAATATTCTCTTTCCAGGAGAAGGAAAATGTTACAGCAGGAGGTGGGTGGCACTTTTCTGGAGGAATAACCATGAAGAACATGGGGTATATTTGAAAATGATCTTTTCTGAGGACAAGTTTCTCTTTTAAAGAGCTATCCTCATATTCTCTCTTACCTTAGATTGGGGCTATTGAAATGGTCCTGCCAGAGCTAGGCTAGAATGCCACAAACTGGGATTAAAGTTGACTGGGCAGGGGGAGGGGTAAAATGGGATATGGGTTGAAGAGCCATAAGGCCAGGATGCTCACTTTTTCTGAATTCATTCAAGAGCACTGGTTTTGGGAGGCAACCAAAATGCAACTCACTAATTCCCTAAGCGCTTAACAAACTCTCTTGAAGATTTAATCACAATGTAAAATCCACAAGTTTTTATTGGCAGTGTTTAGTTATCAATTGCACAACTCTCTGAAGTGGCAACCAGTACAATTCCCAGGTCTGTCTCCATTACACATTCCAGGGGCCTGCTGGCAATGTGTGTGTCAGATTGGTGTTCTGGTCTAGCCTTGTAAATTCCTTCCAGGGGAGACTTAGGATACACTCTCCCAGCTGCCAGGTTCTCTACTTATAAGGTGCAGAATTTATTAGTGAAAAGAAAGATAAAAAGAAAGCCTGCTACCTTTTTAAGTGCTTTTACATACAGTTTCTTTATTACAGTTTGGTGTTTCCAGAAATACAGCTGCCCAGATCATTTGAGTCTTTGTGCTGAATCAGTGGAACTTGTTTTCTCTTCCCATGAATTTCTATGAGCTCTGCTCCACCGTGTATCAACTGAGGTCTTTTGTGCCATGCTTTTAAAGAAAGTCACTGGCAGCAACTCTCATTTGAGGAGACAAAGCCATGAGGACTGACATCCTTAACTTACACATGGCCATGCAAAGGTACAAAGAGGGTTGATACGGAATCCAAGTTTGTCCAACTCTGGAAATGAAGCTTGTCTAGTCACCCAAAGACTCTTTTTCCAGTCTGTTTTCTTCTCTCCAATTTCCCAACATGCCTAGTTTCATTTCCATGCATTTAAGGCAATGTTGGCCTCAGACCACAGCAAAGACATCTAAGAGGCTACCATAAGAAATAGTGTGGTATAGTGAAAAGAAAACACAATTTAGAACTGGAAAACGTGTTCCAGCTCTCTTACTACTCATCTGACCTTGGATAACTCACTCAATAATGTCACAGAACGTTAGTTTCTCTTTAGCAAAATAAGTATAAATATTCATATTTATCTCACCATGTTATTTTCAGAGCAATTTTATGACAAATTGCAATTCTCTGATTTATGTTTATTTATTTTCCATTTATCAGTACAGTTCACTATATTATAAACTCCAAGAGTTCAGGAACCTTGTCTTTTTGGTTCACCACAGTGGCCCATTGCCAGGAACAGCAATCAGCACATAGTACCTGATCAAGAAGAGTGAATGAAATTTGAATGAGTGATGAAAGGAATAAAGGAAAAAAGGAAAGAAAGGAAAAAGAAGGACAGAGGGAAGTGTTCAGAGCATTGTAGATGCCATTTATGAAAGTGATCTGTACATTGTTAAGTATTATCTGCATCCTTTATAACTAACATTTGATGCGTTAATTATGCCAGGGTGAGCTGTTTAAAATGTAAGTAGATCATGTTACTTCCCTAATTAGGCCTTCCAATGGCTTTTCATACTATTTACAAGTCAACTCCTTTCAGCATACAAAGCCCTAGGTGATATGACTCCTGCCTGCCTCATTTCCAACTTCTCCCCCTTCCTCATCATGTCCCGGTCACCCTAGTGTTCTTGCGTTTCCTCAAATGTGCCAGGTTTGTTCTTGCCTTGGAGCTTTTGTGTTAGTTTCTTCCCCAGCCTGGAAAGTTAGTTATAAAGGATGCAGATAATACTTAACAATGTACAGATCACTTTCATAAATGGCATCTACAATGCTCTGAACACTTCCCTCTGTCCTTCTTTTTCCTTTCTTTCCTTTTTTCCTTGCCCCTCCCCAGCTAGCAGTCCCTCTGTTAAATGAGGTAGAATTGGATCATCTCGAGGGGGGATCCCAGCTCTGAAATTCTATGACTTGATGAGAGCAGTCTGATCTTTTGTCATGACCATGACTTCTGTGATAAAGGATAACCCGTGTAATATTTCTGACAAGCGTAGCTTTTCTGGTCTGTGGAATTTCTCTGATTGGCCAATAAGGTCACTAGACAAACCCATATTTCTGCTTTTGCCATTCTAGTTTATTCTTCTCTTTCCTTTTCTTTCCTAGAGAAGTTGACGCTCTTGGTAAATTCCCTCATTGTCACATAAGGCTCAACATCTAACTGTAATTGCACTTCAGCCACTCCTCAAGAGATGGGTTCCTAGTGTGTCTGATCTTGGCTAACACTCCCCCATCTGCTTTCAACATGTTGCATTTGATGTCAACTAATGTCTCCTATTAGCATTAAAATAAAACAATCTGGAAAAATTCACACTCAAGCAGAGTTCAAACAGGCCACAAGTAGATGGGGAATCTCAACTGCACAAGGATTGTTAAAACAATAGTAATAAATATACAAATATGTATAAATGAATGTACGTATATTGCATACTGTACATACATATGTATGTGTATATATAAAAGTGAGTGAGTGACTAGATGTGTGTGCATGTGTGTATGTGTATGTGTGTGTGTGTGTGTGTGTGGTGAAGCCAAAAGTCTGTGAAATGGATCAAGGGAACGAAGACAAGAATGTTTCTGTTCAATTAATGAAATTAACTGGTAACAGCAAGAGGAAAAATATTCTCCTAGTATGGAACAAGGCATGATCAAAATAACTGAATGATATGGAAAAGGAGTTGGGAATCTTTATCCAACACTTACTGGTAATGGGTTAAAATTCTGGTCCACGAGGTGATTGTATCCATGGTCAAAAAATGAGTGCCGTATCACGACATCAATGCCCTGATTGGCCAGCATTCCTAAAGTGTTCAACCATCTAAAAGGCAGAGAAAAAGAGCTACATCAATATATTTTTAAAACGGCATACAACAAGCTCTATGGAGGTTGGCTACTATATATACATATACACCAATCTCCAGTCACCAAATTTACCTAGTACTTTGAAGAGGGTTATTTTAAGCATTAAATTCACAGCTGTAATATATTTTAGAGATTATCAAATCCAAACTCTGCATTTGATAGAAAAAGAAACAGAGGTCTAGGGGAGTAAAATGAACCACTCTTGATCATTAAATAGTTTGTTGTTAATGACTTAACTTTTTATTCCTGAAATAGTAACAAATGAACACCCTAGCCATTTGTAAGCCTAATATCCCTCCTGGCCAGAGGACATACAATTACAGACAGAGGAGCACACATTGTGCATTCCATCCCTCAAACTCCCCTGCTTATACCCTGTCCCTGAACATGTACCTTTAACAGAACTCTAACTCATATACTCCTATGACCTATGCAAATATAGTCTAGTCATTAGCAACCTTCATATATCACTGTCAGTAGTCAATGCAATAATAATTTTCCTTGGCACTATAAGTAACTCTTCAGGGATTCAAGTATGCTACCATCACACATATTTCGCAGTGGAGGATCTGCGCTGTTCACACACTTATCATCTATCCCACTATGCCAAACACCCATTTTCCAGGGCATGCCATCCTTCAAAAATACTGCCTTCTTGGTTCTTCCACACTGCTGACTCTGCCTTCGTTATTTACACTTTCAGCTCATTCATCCATTCATGCATTCATTTGGGGTTCTCTTTCTCTTCCTACTTCTGAAACTTAGGGAAACTTCTACTTGTAATAATACATGGAATAAATGTGGCTTAGAGATTCAGTCTTCTCTACATGTAAGATAAGGCATTTCACAACTTGTCCTAAATATATGTGTGTATAGCTTTATTTACCTCTTCCCCATCTTCTCTTACCCTAAACCCCATTTCCCACAGGCTCCAAGACACATGAAACTACTCTTGGCTACCCAAATACACATTGCTTTCTCACACTTACCTAAGTCCTTATACATGTTTTAATTTCTGCTTAGAGTTCCCTTCCACTCTTCTTTGAACCTATCCCTTTTTGTCTAGCAAATTTCTTCTCATATATTAATCTCCAAATCGAGTGTCATTTTATTCTAAACTCTGCTGCCCCAGCCAACAGTGGTACCTTCCTCTGTGCTTCCCCAGATCTCTTATTCATGCCCTCAGAAAGTCCACAGAAAGAATCACTTAACTTACTTCTTTCCCTTTCCCCTGTCAGGTATGAGCTCATCAAGCATAGACATAATGTCTGAACTTGTACTCCAAACACCCATCACCATTCCTGGCACACCATAGGTACTCAATACTCTGTTGACTTGAAATCTGTCTGGATAAAATTAGATTCTCGGAACTTTGAGAATCACCATTTAGCACACTGGGGAAAATTACACATACTTATGATTTCCCAAATCTGAAACCATATGGAGCTCCAAACCCGTGACTTGAAGAATTACATTTTTTTCCTTGCTGGGATAAAGGGCATTGCTAATTTTTATATTGTGAATAAATATTATTCCTATATTCAAATATTTTTTACATCTACAATTATATTTTATTCTCATAAAAACTAACAAATATTTACTGACAATTAGAGTTACAAAAATAAAACAAAACAAAAAGCAAAACACAAAAGTTTTAAATCAAAAAGGAAAACTGACTATAATATAGTAGAATCATTTTTGTTGTTGTTCTTCAAATTGGAACATTGTGACCCAGGAATTGAAATTACTTTTGGAACATAACATGGCTAAGCAAGCTACTTGCCTTCATAATTTTTATTAATTTGGTAATCCTATAAAATCAAGATATCAGCTTTAGCTTTTCCTTTAGCCACTGAGACATACTATGAAATACCTTGTCAAAGGCTGTCCTGTGGTAGAACTATAACCAGAACCCATGGCTTTCGGAATAGAATGGTTAATACAAAAGATAACTTCATCTTCCTCCTATAATAACAAGCCCCCTCAGAAAGGGAAAGAAATGGTTTCCCCAGGTTCCTTTCTATGCTAAGCTAGAGAGAGTTGATAAAATGACTGGTATATCTAACCAAAGATGCTACCCTGCCATTATTTTCCACTCCACTAAAGGTGAATATCTACTATGTGCCAGACACTATTAGGTGCTTGAGACATAGCAGTATGCCAAGAGTATTTGTGGTCCACCAAAGAATCTCAAAGCCCTAGCTGGGAAACACTACTCTTGAACACTTGGTAGCAAAGAATCCCGATTTATGCATACATGCATGTGTATATGTCCTGGTGAACTCAGAGTTACGTGATATATTAACATTTCAAAAAGGCTGGAAAAATGTCTTCTTTTCAATTTCTTGCTAGCCTCCTAGAGCTTCCTAGAATGCTTTACTGCTCCTCCACCCCTCCCATCCCCAACAGGAAGCAATTTCTGCCCCTTGGAGAACTGAACTCAAAGGGCACATTGCTGGGTGCTGCCAGTGGAGTTGAGACCAAATGGGTGACAAAGAAGTAAGAGAAATTGGGAGCAGAATAAACTAGTTTTCATCTGATCTGTGTCAACTAAGCATTGGATATCTGAATTACAAACAATATAAACTACTATGTTCATCCGTGTTCTGCAAAGTGATTGTAGGAATCTATGGCTATTTGGCTGATGCTCATGAAAAGGCAGTTCTCTTTTTCAACTTCCTCCATGAAGGTCTGCAGTATTTCTCATTCCTTATCATTCCCTAAAGGGAAGAATGCTCACAAAACCACTCAGTACAACTGGGCTGCTTGCTGGGCCCTGTAACAGCATCCTATAGTGACTGCTGAGCAAATGTCATTCCTCTGCTGATTCCAAGGGGGCCCCTGCAGCACTGACGCCCTGGCTTCTCGTCTTTCAACGGGTCTCATATCAAGCCAGTGGAGAGTGGGAGTGTACTTTTGTGGGGTTTTTTTTGGGGGGGTGGGGTAGAGGATGGAGTCTCGCTCTGTTGCCCAGGCAGGAATGCAGCCTCAGCTCACTGCAACCTCTGCTTCCCAGATTCAAACGATTCTCCTGCCTCAGCCTCCCAAGTAGCTGGGACTACAGGCGTATGCCACAATGCCCAGCTAATTTTTGTATTTTTAGTAAAAATGGGATTTCACCATGTTGGCCAGGCTGCTCGAACTCCTGACCTCAAGTGATCTGTCCACCTTGGCCTCCCAAAGTTCTGGGATTACAGGTGTGAGCCACCGTGCCTGGCTGGGAGTGTACTTTTGAAAGAAGATTCTTAATGACACTATATCAAAGGTGACTCACTCCACTTCATGCATTTGAACCATGCTTGCTGCCCATGTCTGTGCTACACAATGTAAGATGCTGAGGACACAGAAATGGAAGACCCAAGGTATCACCATGAATTACACTGACTCATTTTCTTTATCTGCATTTGCCAGAACTCCATCTGTAAAGGCAATCCACTTAACTGGCCTGATTTGTCCTTCATTAATGTATTAAAGAAGTTACCTCTATACAGGGGAACCGAAGCTGCATAATTAGGAACAGCTGTTAGTAGCAAAACACACAGCTGAGGGCAAAGCTACAGTTCTTAGGAGGACATTGCTCAGTCAAAAATCCAAGGCCACAGGACTGTACTGGAGCAGGAACAAGTCACTTATTTAGTGGTCCTGAGGGGTTTGTCCCTGCCACATGACACTGGCAAGCTAATGAGAGGCCCTTATGCTTCTGGCTTAAGTCATTCTCCAGATGACTGTAGTAGCCTTCAAATTCATTTTCCCATTCCTTCCCAACTTTTGTGAATACCATTAACAAAGCCAAAGTCAGAAAAAACACAAGTCAGATTCTCCAGATTTTCTCTCTCTCTCTTTCTCTGTCTCTCCTTCACAATCTTCAATGGCTTACTGTGAATATAGAACAAGGCCTCACTTCCTCTACTGGGTTTTCAAGACCTTCTGTAATTTGGTGGTAAACCCTTTCCTGAGTCTCAGCCCTCATTGCACCCTCGCAGATAACAAGGCTTTAGTCACATTAGCCATTCTCTGCTCCTCTGTGCCTTTGCTCATAATGTTTCTTGGGCTTAGAAGGCTCCCTCTGCCATCACCATGACTCCTACCTATAGAAATTAGAGTAATCCTACTATGCGGCACTCATGCCACTTTTTCCATGAAGTCCTTCCTGATACTCCCAGTCATAGAAATTCTTTATTCCTTTGCATGTCTATCATTTTTCTTTTGTAGACGGACCATGTGAGGCAGAAAGGCAGGTGGTCTGCTGCAGTGGTAAAGGTGCTGCACTCTGGAGCAAACTGCCTGGGTTTGAGTCCAAGCTGTGCCACTAACTAAATGAGTGATCTTGGATAAGTTACTTCACCTCTTTCAGTTTTCTCATCCATAAATGGGATAATAACAGCATCTATTTCACTAAATTGTTATAAAAGCAGTAGCATCTATGTCATTGGTTGTTAAATTATGAAATACAAATAAAGCACTTCAGACAGTGGTAAGCACCGTATTATTAAAAGTATGATTACTACGGCACTTACCTCCTACAGCTTTACAATGTAGTTATCGCCTATCCCAGTTCCACCAATCATATTTTTTCTGGAGGGAAAAAACCATGCCTTATTGTTACCTATCTCCCAAGACTATAGTGAAAATTGGCTTAGAAAATGTATGTTGTTTACACTGTGTTTTGAACTTTAGACAATCAATAAAGCCGTTATTACTATAATTATTACTGTTACTAATATTACTTACTATAATCTTTGTTCTGATGCCTGTGCCTGACATTTTAATATCTAGAGAAGGCGTTGATCATTGTTGAATGGTTTAAGACATATACAAATGAAGGAAATGAACTTTCAACAGGAAACATGCCTCACCCCTTGGATGGGCAGAATAATCAGCAATATCAGAGATTCACTGTCCTTTCCTCCTGAAAGCCCCTGGGGGTGAAATTTCAAGTGTTACTCACAAGAATCCTGCAGCATAGGAATCTGATAGATTGTTTGTGCCTCCAGCTGAGGTGGTCACCACACCTTCAAGCCAAATCTTCTTTCCTGGAGTGTATGTATTAACCACCTGTTTACACAACAAAAGCAGAAGGGGATAATGAGGTTTTAAAAACTATTCCCACATGAGAAGAAACATACATTCCCTTAAGGAAGTTGATCTGATTTCCTGTTTTCAGGGGGTCATGATTTGTGCTTTTTTATGATGATGCACCCAGTTCAGTGAGTTGGCATTCACAAACCAAAATGCATTAACATTGACACGTGCCACTTAAAGAAATTATCATTTTTCCCTAAGTAAACCCAACTGACAATGTGACAGAACAAGTGCATACACCAGGATGTAAACTGACTGCAGTACTTTCCACTAAAAAATATAAATCATATTGTGTTTCCAAATTACCAAGCATTGAGAAACAATGCTTTTCAGTCTCTCTTATAGCACATCTATGACACATGCACTACCTAAAAGCCACGAATGCATCACAAGCATCAAAAGTCACAAATCACAAGAAAGTAGAGAGAATGTTCGCGGGAGACGTATTTTATAATTACTAGTGCAGGTAGATTGTAATCATATTTTGAAAATAACTGCAGTAAGGGTAAAAAGAAAAGTCACTGACCCACAAATGACACATTCACACAGGGAATAACTGCATGCCTTCCAAGCAGAAGCAAAACTTCTTGTCGAAAGGTAGCACGCTGAAGATTTGAAATGGCCCAGTCTCTGACCCACAAGATGAAGACTGAGCAAACTATTCAGATCAGGGTGAAGATGCTCTGGATTGCAATCTGGTGGCACTTAGGAGTAAGATTGTATGCTGGGTAGCCCCTGAAAGCAGAGCCTGAGTCAAAGTGCTGGCAACTACTCAGTCTCACAGGGATCTTGGTAAGAGCCTTACAGACTGTGTCTCAGAACTGACCCCCAAGGGGGTACAAGAGAAAGCACGAGTAGCCTTGTGACCATTAACCCCTTGCTCCTCTATCCCTATTTCAAGTGCAGGCCTGAGTGCTGAGTAGATTCTCTGAGTGTTCCTTCCTCATCTCTGCCTCAGAGAAGGAAATAAGAAGTGAGGTACTACCTAGTACACCGACACCTAGCTGGCTGCAGCCTGCATGCTGGCCCAGCCCTGATCTCTACAATGATGGCTAGAGTAGGAGGTGGGACTGGGAGGATGCCAGCTACGCACTAAAGAGGCTGGACAAAGAAAATAGTGTATTTAGGTCCTATGGTCCCCCAACTACTCTCCTAGGCATACACACCAAAGCAATTCTTCCTCAGGTCTCTAAAGAGTAAGAATGAGAATTCTTTCTATGTCACTGTAGCAGATGTCCATTGCTAGAGGAATGGAAAAATAAAATGTGGATATATACTATACAATATTATGCAGCAGTTAAAACAATAACGTCAATGTAAATCCAACACCATGAATAGTCTTTAAAGGTTTAGTGGTAAATTAAAACAAACAAACAAAAACCAAATGAGATTTATGGCACAATATTACTTATAAAATTGCTCATTTGCACCCAATAACACTAAATACCCTATAATGACACATGCCTCTTAAGAACATATATCAAACACATAAGGAAAGCATGTATAAGAGAGAGGTGAAAATTAAAACAAAAACAAGACCTTTCATGAACTGATGATAATAGTTTGCTGTTAGGTTAGGAGTATTATGTTAATTTAATTCTCTGCACCTGAGGGCTGTCAAAAAGAAAAAAATATATGTGGCCAAACCCATGGGTACATAGACATCAACAATCAATCATATTCCTCTTTTCATTTCTAGCGAGGTACAGCTCCCTGCCCTCTCTCCCCACATTTGCTAGACAATGTGCATTATTTGGAACGTATTTTGGGTTGGCAAAGTTACTGACCTTTTTCAGAAACAAAATTGTAAGAAAATTACACAAATTTGAGATTAAAGTGAGTATTATGATCATAAATGGAAGAGAAATCCTGAGAATTAACGGTGGTGGCCAATAGCATGTTGGTAAAGATTAAATAAAAATGCACTCTTATACACAAAAAAAGAAGAGTCATTTGAGGATACTACCAGGTAGTCCTCTTACTCCTTTCAATACTGTTCAGCCTGCCCAACTCAAGGGAAGCAGGGAATTGTAGGAATAAGAAAGGAAGAAAAATGCCTTAAATAATCAAAAGACACATCCATATGGCCAGATTAAAGAACTACATCTATGATTTCCCTTAAAATATGGTGCTAAAAACATCCGTGTACATGATAAACTATCTACTTCCTTTATGAGTAACTAGAGCAGAGTAATATATTTGTGTTTTTCTTTTTTTGTCTTTGGCTTGGAGGATATTTAATGTTTAATTTTGTGCTCAAAGATATTAAAGGCAGTTAGAGAAAGGAGATTTGATTAAACAAAACAAAAAGGTAAATACTGTAACATAAATGAACCTTGAAAACATTAAGCTAAGTGAAAGAAGCCAGACACCGAAGGCCACATATGATATGGTTCTATTTATGTGAAATGTTCAGAATAAGCAAATTCTTAGCGACAATAAGTAGACTAATCGTTTCCTAGGGCTGAAGAAGAAGAGGAAGTTTAAGATGGGAGGGGGAAAGGAGAGTGACTGCTAATCAGTATGAGGTTTCTTTTGGAGGTGATGAACATGTTCTAAAATTAGACTGTGGAGATGATTTCAAAATTCTGTGAATATATTAAAAACCACTGAATTTCACACTTTCAAAGGGTGAATTTTATGCTATGTGAATTATATCTCAGTAAATAAATATATGTAAAAGAACACATTTACAAAAGGAGAGTTATGGTCTCAGTAGGCAAATAACCATAATGTGGAAATAAGAATGTACCTTGGAAATTCTGGGTTATGCTACATGCTACTTGTGACACTTGTAGTAGTTATTATCTTGGACTTCAATTTCTTCATCCACATTTAAAGTCATGAATTTGTGGTATATGAACTCTTAAGTTTCTTTTAAATATAAATGTTAAAATGTGTTAGTATTTTATAATGATAATGTAGATTCCCTTGGTTATCACTCAAAGGTCAAGAGTATCTTTGATTCTGAAAGTTAAAACAACAAGTATGGGAAATGAAAAAAGTCAAACACAGCTCAGAGCTGGTCATCTCAGAAACAAAGATCTGGGCTGGAGGAAAACACTGAGAAAGGTAGAAAAATCCACAGGAGTAAATGAAATTGCCTAGGGAGAATATATAAACATGAGGCTAGAAAGCGCTGAGGATTTCCCATCAAAAACATTAATGCATTATCAAGGGCATTAACTAATTCATTCAACAAATATTTACTGAGCACCTACTATATGCCAAGCAGAGTTCTAGGGGTGGATCTATAGCAATGAAGCATAACAAGTCTTTGTTCTTGTTGTCTTACATTTTAGTCAAGGGAAGGAGAATAATAATAAACAAGTAAACAAATAAAAGACATTTAGATAATAATAAGGGATGGAAGAAAACAAAACAGAGTAACACGCTAGAGAGCAATTTGACAGGAGGGTAAGGTCAGTGCTTTAGATAGTGGTCGGAGGAGGCTCACATGGAAGGTGGTATCTGAGCCGAGAACAGAGTGAAGAAGGAGCCAGCCCCTTAATGGATCTAGAAGAACAGCACAGTAAAAGGACCTCAGGTGGAAACAGGTCTGCTGTGTTTAGAACCAAAGAAGACTATCTGGAGTGTAGTAAGTAAGGGAGTGAAAGATTTAAAAATGAGGTCAGAGAAGAAAGGAGTATTTTTATTCTGAGTGTGATGGAAAGCTATTGGAGGGATTTAACCAAGAAAGTGATTGGATCTCACTTATGTAAAGATCCCTGCAGCTGCTATGAGATCATATATATATATAAAATGAAACTATACCATGATACAGTTATTTGTATATCATTTTAATTGTTAAATGATAAAAACTGTAAAATGATATACAAATTAGTTTATCATTTTATAACCACTTTGAGCTTCAATTTCCTCACATGTAAGCTGGAAAAATACCTGATAGGATAGTGTTAAGGACCTTTCCTTGTCAAAGGCCAAAGACACATATACTAGGCCAGTCCCAGGAAGATCCTGAGAGCGAGTGAAAAGGAGCACAGACCTAGCAGACACACATTTATGTGGGTCTGTCTGTGGTGATGCGTGAATTCGGAGGAACTAGTGCCAATTATTCTTACGGTTTGGTGGCAGGATTCTGAACTACCATTTTTGATCCACGTAAGAAATTCAGGAAATTTCCTAGAAACCTTGAACCATTAGTTCTTTGAAGGCAGGGAATACTCTTATTCACTTTTGTATTTACTTCCTATCAGAATGCCTGGCACAGAGTAAGTGCTTCACAGGAGATTGTGTGTAACACAAAGAAGTTAATGCAATTCCACACCTGCCCTCGCACAAGCTCACAGTAAACTACCACTCCTTAGAGAAGTCATGTGACCTGACAAAGGGCGACTAAACTGATCAAAGACTTGGAAGCAATGTGCTGATTGCAAAAACAAAGGCATACAGTGAAAACCTATTACAACATGAAAGATCTAGATAAGAGCAACATGCTTATTTGCCAAATCTCAGGATATCAAGCCTCTCCTTGATCTGAGAGGGAAAAGGAAAATTCTGCTTTGCTTAGCAGGTAATTTATGTATGGAATTCAATAACCTCAGAAGTGTTAAAGGTCAATGACCACACAAGGTGATTTGGATACCAGAAGGATTTTATGTGTTATCAAGCTCGTTATAATACTCTGATATTAAGAAAAGAAAGAATCATGTATTTCCACATTTATCACTTGAGGACGTTTGTTATAAGTACAATAAGTCTTCACTTAAAGTCATCAATAGGTCCTTGGAAACGGCAACTTCACGCGAAAGAATGTATAATATAACCAATTTTGCTATAGGCTAAATGATATTAACAAGAATTAAGTTCCTATGACATATTTCTGGTCACAAAAACATGACCAAATTTCTAAATAAAAACCCCCAAACTTTTAATACTAATCACTGAAATAAGTGTGATCTATATATACATTTAAAAAAGATGAATAGGCCGGGGTGTGATGGCTCACACCT